AATTTGAAATGTTGATAAGATTTATTTTGCTTTTAAACCAAGCTGTACTTGGAGGACCAAAACGTGAAATTGACCATTATTTTTAATTTTTAATATAATGAAGCCAACACTTTTTAAATTAAATTTAAAGGATTTTTTTTTGCAGGAATACCATTAAGTTGTTGTGCTCTGTGTTACAAGGGTGAATGGGAGGCACAAAGAAATACTATCAAAGAAGATTGTTTTAATTTTGGTGGTCTAAAAATTAAATAAGAACAAATTGATCACCAATGATACAATCCAAACCAAACAAAAGAGTAAAATTTAATGGAGAAGATTGTATTCTTGTTTTCGCATGTGAAGCCATAATGCCACCAAAACTTTTGATGTAGCTGAGGAGACACATCATAATAATAAATAAATAAACAAATAAAGATTATCATAATATTAAGATGTTATGGATGAATGAAATCATCACATTGCATATATACAATACTGGAATTAGCAAGCGATACAAAGAAAGTAAACAAAGTCGTTGTGCACGCCACACCACGCATGTCCACAACTATTATTTACAAAGGCAATTCTTTTATTTTTGGTTGTCCACTCCACAACTTGAATAAAATCAAATTAAATTGATCTTAGCATGAAACAATTCAAGCTAAATAAAATACAATCCAGTAAATACCTAGGCACAAGAAAACAAACAAATAAACAAACAAAGGGAAAGAAAGAAATACTGAGACAGTTGAAGAAATAAATTATGAATAATATTAGTATAGAACAAACACACGAGAGGACCCACCTTTTCCGCATATATTATATATCAAGAAATCAATATTGAAAGGAAACATGTGGCACATGAGAAATCTTGGGCCAATCTTCTCCAATATCGCGCTGGCATCTCCTCTCTAATTCAAGACAATCATCAATCACAAGTTCTCTTAAGGAGGTAAGAGAACGCATCCCCTCTGGCAGAGACGACAATTTCGGACATGAATCAAGGACCAACTTTCTAAGTGATGTGAAGCTTGCCAACCACTCAGGTAATGCCTCCAAATTCTCACACTCGTGAATAGCCAATAATTGAAGGGTGTTAGCCGCTCCTTGAAGCCATTCAGGCAATGCCACCATCCTTGGTAAATTGAAAATATCCAATTTGTGGAGCCTCAGTGGAGTTCCTTGATAGTTTACGTTCCCCAAATTCAGTTGTTCACAGCTGCATAGCACCAGATTCCGTAAGGAAGCAAGATAGCTCGTTTCACGCGGCAAAGAGTTTAAATTACTACACTCGAAAATACCAAGAAATCGAAGTGATTTCAAGCATCCCACCCCATTCTCTGGAAAATTTGTTTGTTTTGTGGTTAAATCAAGTGTTCTGAGGCTGATCAATTCGCTTATATCTCTAGGCAACTCTTCAAGATTCTCACATCCATCAAGATATAGAGTTTGCAAGCTCTGCAGTCTGCAAATTGCATTGGGGACTTTCGTTATTTCTTCATTAATACTTAAGTTCAGATATCTCAAATGTTTCAGGGAACCAATGGAACTTGGCAACACTTGTAATGAACATCTATCTAACTCAACCACTCGCAAATACTTGAATCTTGAAAAGCAAGTGCACATGAAGGATTCATCAA